CCGGCCCGCACTCGACAGCCACCGCCGCCCCCAGCGCCCATGCCTGAGTGAGTTCTGCTCCTTTGCCTCTCTTTTCCTCCCGACTCTTGCTCTTTCATCTCTGTCTCTTTTTTTTTTTCCCGGGATCGATCCAAACTTCTTTGTAGCACCCACTCATGGCGCCCCTGGTTGGGGCGGCTCGGCTCCCCTCTCGTGGGCGCTGGCGGCAGGGGTCTGTCGAGCCCCTTCTCGCTCGCGCTGCCGGTAGAGTGGGGGAGAGCACGCGGGATGGGGACTCGAGGATGCCCGTCGTCCTCTCCCAGGGTGTGGGCACACTAACGCACCTGCCCGACAGACCCTGGCTAACAAACTCCTTCGGGTCGTCAGCGCGACCCCTTTTGGAAGAGGAAAGGGGAGTGGAAAAGACCGAAGGAAGCCCGCGGAGACAGGGAGAGCCTCCCGGTGCCCCTCCGAGCCGGGCTGGCGGAAAGGTGGCCCGAGGAGGACGCTGGGGAGTGGGAACGCTCCCCCGCCGGCTCGCCCGTCCGCTCAGCATCCTTCCCCGGTCCCTCTCCGCCTTCCTCCGCCCCCCGCCCGCGCGGCTGGCTGGGAGCGGCGGCGGACAGGGACCTGGGAAGTTTGTGGCAACTTCTCCTTCCCGGGAACCACTCGGGCGCCGGGGCGCTCAAGTTGGAGCCGGGAGTTTGAAAGCCGCGGCACTCGGCGTTGGCAGTCCTCGCTGGCTGTAGTGAGGCCGGTCCTGAAAAAGACTCCTGGAGTGAACGTGGGTTTGGAGATGGGCTGGAGGAAGGGAGAGGTGCTGCCCTCCTTGCAGGGACGGGGACATCACTGAGCAGCCACCACGGGGTCTACCTCCTGCGGTCCCGACCCGAGCGTGGCGGCTTTCTCCGTGCGCCCCGCTGCCGAGGCTCCCCGGGCGGCGGAACATGGGTTTGGGCAGCCACCGGGAGAGGGACCATGCAGGCAGGTGGCAGGTCCAGGAGTGACACGCGCGTACCGGGGAAACGCACAGAGCTGGACTCTTGGGTGACTCCAGAATACCGAGAGGGACTAGGGCTCTTGCTGGAGGTTTTGGCAAGGACCTCCACTAGGGCATCGCAAATTTCACTTACAAGTGTCAGCCACAAGGTCCCTTCCCAAAGTGCCCTCGCTGGCAACTTTGACCTCTGGGCCCTTCCTCCGTGAACTTTCTCAGCGGCATTCCGCATTTCCAGGCGAACGGTGTAACGCTTGGACTTCACATGGGTGTAAAAGAGGGAAAACAGAAAGACGTCCGGTTTTCAGGACCGAACCTGGGGTTCCATGCTTGCATCCTTGGAGGCCAGGCCACCTGACTTTCCCTAGAGGACAGAGTAGGGGGTAAGAAGGAGTAAAACTACACTGCTTGGTGCCAGGTTTTGTTCGGAGCAGTTCCTGAAATCTACAGGGTTTGTGCTGCTGACCCAGTCACTCATCCCGCTGAAACTTTATTGAAATTTACACCCTGTCTAAAGTGGATTTTTCTGAGATATCAGGAATGGAAGATTTATTCTATAGTCAAATGTAGCTGCAACACCCCCCCCCCCTACTTTAAGACTGGAGAAAACCAAGGTTGAGGTGTTTGCTCTACAAACCTTTAATCTGCTATGTGGTACTGGTGCTATGATTTAGCAGCAGTTCTTTATTTCTATTGCATATTATTTTAGTAGAACAGTAGTACATTCATATACTGGCTGCTCCAGTCTGCTGGCAAACATTAGCATTCAAGCTTACATTTTTGACAAATGTGCAGACAGGAATAGCATGAATAGGCATCTTAAATATTAACAACCTAAGCATCTGTTGTGAAACAAATTTAATATATTTACTCTGTTTTTCTCACATTGTTAGAAAAGGTTATAATAAGTGCATAATTTCAACTTTAGTTTGCAGAAGTAACTGGCTGCATCTTTCACTACCTCTCCAAGTGTTTAACACAATCACCAGACATAAATACTTTAATTAACTTGGTTAGGCACATTATTAAATAGACTTTAAACAATGTGCATACTATGTAACAGTAGCAAAATATGTATCGTATTTCTGCAGATTTTAAATGACTATGCATTTTATAAATATACCAGGCATGTTTATTCTTCACCTCCATTTGACACTTATTACTTCATGTTTTTTTCTAATGGAAACAATATTTTAAATGTAGAGTTGTTCAGTCATATGCAATACATAATATGTAAACAGTAGCTATAAAATACAAAGCACTGTTAAATTTGAGCACGGCTACATGTAACAAGATCGTACAAGAGAAATAAAAATCACTGCTCAATTTTGTATTCCTTTCTGAATAATGAATACAAATGATGTCTAATAAAGAACAAATAGGGATTTCCCTCCTAAAGTACTAGTGCCTTAAAATGTGTGGGGGGTAGGAGGGATGGAAGGGAGGGGGAAGATAAAGAAAACCTAAAGAACTTCCCAAAGTCTGAATAGTTATTTCCAGAATCAATGCATTCCTCATTTTCCCACAAGCTGAAATATGTAATAAATAATAGTTCTTTGTATGTAAAAGTATTCAAAAGGAATGCCTTTTGTTTAGTTGTTGTAATAAATTAATATATTCTTTGGTTGATAATCTACAAAAGTGGGTCTTTTGTTTCTCAGCATCTTAAACAAGAACAACCACAAAATGAATATTGGCTTATTTCTGCAAAGAAGTCTGTTGCCAGCTACGTGAACCTGAGAATTAATAAGATATGATATGCTGAGTGATGGTTAAGAAAGACTACATTAAGTTGGCAAAAACTGAACTATCTGGAGGAGGTTTTGAATTATTTTTTCAGGTGACAGGTTGTGGATTGTAAATTAGGCCTAAAAGGTCAGGTGACAGGCACCTGTTCCTCATTATTGTAAAAATCTTCTGGTTACAAACTCTATTAAGCTAAAGACAACATGGATATACAGTAGGGACTCTATAAAGCACTCTAGTGGCTTGTCATCTGCTCTGTAAATTTCCAAAAGGGCCATACATAGATATGCCCTGTACACAAACACATCATTTCTTTCAAGATGTGTTATCTTGGATGACTCTTACTAGTACTTGGGATTGGCGAAGTATGTAAAATAAATACATGTCACTGAATCAATCTTCAGACCATATCTAGACATGTTGTAGTCCAATGCAAACATATTTTTAAACCCTTCTTTTCTCTTTACAGTCCATTGATTAATTATCAGAATTTCTTCATGTTTTAAAGAACAGCCTCCCCAAATTGCCTTGTATAGTTTTTAGATCAGATGTGTTCCCATTTTAAATGATGCCATGAAATAGTTTGCTCAGTACTTGTAATGTAAGGAGAAAATTAGTTGTTATCTACTGTCATAGCATTGTGGCATATAGAAAATGGGAAGAAAAACACATTTTATATGAATGCTGTTAGGAAGCGCATCGTCATCTGATCCTCAAGCTTGCCACTTCTCTCAGCAGAGCTCAGTAATGTTTCTGTTAGAATTAAAGAGTATGATTTGATTTGCATGAATGGCTTACCTTTAGATATTTCAGGGAGCAGAATAAGCATACATATTGGATGGACCTAAATAGCACAAGGTGACAACAAAAGTAAAGGTTCCAGTTGCTTTTAATTAGCCAAGAAGGAGGATTTTGAGTAAATTCTGTAATTCAGATGATTAAATTCTATATTTAATTTTGTTCTTTTCTCTCTCTCTTTTTTGGTTTTGTACAGTTATTGCTTATTCTATTAAGTATTTGGCTTTAGCATTTGTGGTCAGATTACAGAGCAGTCATTACTCTTGCTTTTCAAATTGATTTGGTTTCCAAACTCCAAAAGTCTGGGATGATTTTAACAAATTGGTTTACATTTTTGACAGAACAGAGTTAAGTTAATTAATAGATCAGGCACGAAAAATCCTCCACGGTAGGGTGTATTTTCTGGTAAAATGAAAGTTATGTTTCAGCATGATGAGCATCAGGCTTCAGTAATCTGTTCCTCGTGTGGAATGAACACTTCCTACTTCGAGCTAGCAGGCACCTTCTGTTTATTTACGCTGCATTAAACTGACAGCTCAGCAATCAGAGGAAAAATATTACTTACCTTCCTGAGTTAAGTACCAGTTTATAGGTTAGTGCACGTATTTATATTCCTGTCACCACTAAATAACGGCTCTGTCTCCATTTTAATATCTACCTGTGCTATAATCCAGGGCCTCAGACTCTTCCCGGTTGGGGGTAGGGGTCGAAAGCAGGTTTTCTTATCATTTCCCAATGGCAAAACCTTAGAGAAAAGTATTTTCATCTCTGCCGTGTGAGAACCAGCTGGAAGCAATGTTATTTTACATACCTCAACTATAACATCAGAACCCCCAAAGAATCTGCATGCCACTTAAAATAGTCATCTGTTAGAGCAACCTCAGGACAAATACGTTCAAACACATTCGAGTGTGTGTTTTCTAAATTGACTTTCTACCAAGTTCCAAATAGGTTACTTAAACGCTTTGATTACTTAGATAATAACTTTGATAAAGTGTCTTCCCTCCCAAGTCTTAGATGGAATGTCTCAGTTTTTACTGGAAATCTTCAAATATAAGTACAAAGTAGGGCTCATTGATTGCTCGATACTGTTGGCTTCTCTCTGAAAATATTCTTGCCTCCTTTCTTGTTACTCTGTCAACCTTAAGATATGGGTGATTTCAACTTCCTTGTAATACTAAATGAATTTGTTGTTTTCTTTTACAATTAAAACCCCTTCTCTTTCAAACTCCTGGAAACATCAAAACACTGCTAAAGTTGAATTATAAAACTTATGGTTAACTTGAGAAAATGCTTATTTTCACTTATATTCTATAAGTCCCTCTTATACTCATCGTCTACACATTGTCAACCTCTCATCACGTATCTCATTGACATCAGAGCAGAATGTGGTCTTAATACAGCATATAAATCAAATTTGTTACACAAGGTTCTTCTGCTTCTCTATACCAAAGAAAGAGTGTCTACTATGGTAATTTATATATCGTTCCTAAGTGCTATTCTCAATGGTAAGTCTATTTAAACTTGATGTCTTCATAGAATGTGATCAGCACATTAACACACATTATTTAATACTTTTGAACTTATGCCAGTGGTACCTTTTGCTGTTTATTTCTTTTAAAGTCTTTTTAAGATCAGATATTTCATTTCAGAGTAAATAGATAAAGATTGCGTGTCTATGTATTCAGGGTGAGATTTAGTAGCATAGCATTTCTCCAGCATATTGGCCTATTTTTTTATTCTTTCAAGTTATTCTTTATCACTTCCACTGATGTTGCTGTCTGAGGCTTGGTTCGTAATAGCAACTCTAATCATCTCTTTCAATGGACTTTCAAACATGTAGTTCAGTTGAGGCAGTGATCTAGTTAGGTTATGCGAGATGGAAATGAGTTAGCTGCTACCCTGGCACTTATGTCCCTAGATTCTCCTGAAATTTCAGTCCCGTTATTTGACATTGGGTTGTGAAGTGTCTTGTAATTGAAAAATTAAGACGTGGTTCAGTTTCCAGTGGAGGGAAGATCTTTGCTGGATAAAACGTTGAACTGTGCAATCTTTTATGATGCTCGCCACTCGTTTTAGAACCTGCCTGTGATTGCACACATTTTGAGTACCTCGGGCTGCAGGTCGTCCCCCAAATGAAGCTGAAATGCTTGCAGAAGAAGCGGGTGTCAGGCTGCACCTGGTTGTGCCTTTATAAGAATGTCTGTAGATCTGCATTGCCCCCCCCCCTTTTCTCTAACCCTCCCCCCCAGGTGTGCAGGAAGTGGAGGGCGTTGTACAGGGTGAAGTGGGTGGACTCTACCCAGAGCTATGACCTGATTTGTGACGCACCCTCAGAACTGCAGTTAATGGTCCAACTGCTTCACAGGCAACTGGTAACCACCTCATTTGGGGATGCTTCTGCCTTGCTAGCACTGCCAGAGAGAACTTCCCTCACGGTCACCTCACCAGAGGCTACTTTTTGACAGCTCTCTTGTAGGGCTAGATTCAGAGAGCAGCTTCTGATACCTGGAGGGTAAGTGCCAGAAACGTTTCTGTCCATTCCATGTGGAGAAGCAGGGCTACAGCCACGGGGAGGGACAGGCGTTGAGTGTCTGGGGGGAGGTCTCTGTGTTGGGAGGTTGCTTTTTCTCAGCTAGAGATGATTTGAGACCAGATACCAACACAAATTTTTCAGTGGGCTATTTTTTTGGGGGGAGAGGGGGTGGGGGTGGCAAAATAGGGTAGGAAGCTCCCATGGGAAGTTGCTAGACTGATCTTTCCTTGAGATATTTAAAGAAAAGGGAATTCTTGAGATGCAGTTTTTTCCAGGAAGCCAGGCATAGAGTAAACTCGATTGCTAGATGTTCCTTTCTAAGTCTTCCTCAATGGTTTCTGTAATGCTGTTAAGAGCATGTAAATGAGAATTTGGCCTTTTAACGTTTATAATGTTAAGGACTTTAAGATAAAAGAGGTTTTATGTTATAAATATTTTATTGTAATAATTATTATAAATAAAATAGAACCCAGTGTACACGGATATCCTTTGACATGGAGATAGTCTTGAATATAGCAAATCCATAATTAGCTGTTTGATGTTGAATGCAATTGAGTTTTCCTGTTCCAGTGAACCAGACAATGGAAATCATTGGGAATTAACAACGCGGCTATGTGATTCTTGATAAAGCTAACCTTTCGGTCCCCATTCAAGTATTTTATCAGTGAATGAGGGGGCTAAACTAAAATGCTTACACTTGTAAACTGTAAAAGGATATACGGAATTGGTAAAAGAATCCCAGTGTTTCCCATTGTGTCTTTGCCCATTGAAGTGATGCCTAGGTATCCTATTTAACGTTAGACAGATTTCTCCAGACTCTGGGAGGAAATAACAATATTGCAATCGCTGTGCTTTATAAAACAAATCTTAGAGGTGGGCTCTTTTGGGCGGTTGAAAAAGACTCAAAAACAATTTAGAACATTATCTCAAAAGTCAAAAAATGACAGCCTTACTTTGTATGCAGTCATTGTATTTTAATAATACTGTACGCTTATTAGTGTTATTAGAGCAGTAGACAGTTAATTACAGCCTTTTCTGAGACATGTTAACTCTATATTAACAGCCATGTAAAAAAAAAAGAAAGAAAGAATGATGTATATGCTTACCTACAAGCTGCTGCTTGCTAGACTCTTGAAAATATCCTTTAAGAATGTATGCAGTCACATTTTGGTCCAGAATCATCAAAATGGTTTCTACTAAAACAACTGAATTTTAGAACTTTTCACTGGGATACAAAATTTTCTCCCTGTTTTTTTTTTCCCTTTTCTTGTAATGGGTATTGGTTGGATCACTTTTTGCCAGTAGCAGAAATTGCTGTCCCTCAGCAGTTTTTACCTTTCCCACATTATATTTTGAGATGCCTGCGTTTTCTTGTTTTCTGATGACTTTGGCCAGCCCACACCATGAAGAGCTTATGGAGTTGATTGAGTCCCTCTTAATACTTGTATTTTGTGGAATCATTTTAGTCACTGTTCCTTGATCCAAGTTACGTTTCCTTAAAATGCTCCAAAACCTGATACTTAAGATACATGTGAGCAGTTGATCACAGCAGTCGTTCTAAGACTATTTTATTTTCCAGATTTCAAACCTGGGTTTTTGCTTTGGCTTTTGGCATGGCAGAACAATGGGGGACCACCCAGAGGAGTTTGAAGCGGGACTTCGCCTTACTTACACAATTGTATCAAATTGGTTAACTCTCTGAATTCCCTTGGTTAATCTGGACACGTAGACCTTGTAGTCATGTAATATAGCACTTAAAATTGCACTAGTATTCCCAACTTGATGATTTTTTAGGTGCTGCTTATATTTACTTCAAGAAGACATTAAACTACAAAAAAGAAATTCTCTGTAAGGTGCATGTCTCTGTTATATAAAATAGGAAAAAGTTCACAGTCAGTGTCCTGTGCCTTGCATAGTGAGCACTCATTAAAGATTTGCTAAATTAATAATAAAACAGAGAATTTAGCTTGTGCTGCAATAATGATTTAATGGGGGAGGGACCTTTCTCTCTAATTTTCTGTTTTTACTGGGGTTATCTGAACACTTAATCTGCACATGTCCGGCTTTCTGGATAATTGAATGTTTTTCTTCTTTAACTATGTGCTCTGTCATTTTTTTTTGACAGTAGCACTGGGGTCTGTTTCATCCTCATTGTCTGACCTCAAGGATTAGGAGAAGTATCTCTGTTCAGGTCTGTGGTCCCTTGGTGTTTGGTTGTGGTAACAAACTGTATTAGAGTCAACACAGAGCCATCCCCTAGGTGTGTACAGTTAGGCCACAATGGTCTTTCTGATATTCTGGGACCAAAAATACTATTTACCAGTGGCCCAAGGCTGATGGGCCTCTCCCTATTCTTTCCTACAATAATGATTTTGTCCAGGGTCCCATTGCAAAAATATGAGCCATGGTTCCTGCATACAAATATATTTTTCATTGTAACTCTATGTGTTGCACTTTTAAATGTTTTAAGATTCAGGGTATTTATATTAATGGAAATTTCACTCTATTCCTTTAAATTAATACTAGAGTTCCAGTGGGGTTGTGTTAGCTGCATCTAAAACATTCTGAAAAGTTCTGGGCATTCTAAGAAAGTTATCTAAAAAACACACTTCCTCTTTAAATTTAT